TAGGTCAGTGGAATTTTCAATAAGTCAGTGGGACAAACGATTTTATACTAAAATGTATTCTCTTATATAAATGAGGCAATAAATATACAATACAATAAAGCCAGTGGATAAAATGATTTTCAGTAAGTCAGTGGAACTTTCAATGGGTCAGTGGAACAAATGATTTTCAAAAAGCCACAAGTGTATAAAATGATTTTCAGTAGGTCAGTAGAATTTTCAATAGGTCAGTGGAACAAATGATTTTCATATAGACAGTGGAACAAATGGTTTTCAGTAGGTCAGTGGAATTTTCACTAGGTCAGTGTAACAAATGATTTTCAAAAAGCCACTAGTGGATAAAATGATTTTCAGTAGGTCAGTAGAATTTTCAATAGGTCAGTGGAACAAATGGTTTTCAGTAGGTAAGTGGAATTTTCAATAGGTCAGTGGAACAAATGGTTTTCAGTAGGTAAGTGGAATTTTCAATAGGTCAGTGGAACAAATGATTTCCAATAGTTCAGTATAAAAATTAAAATAAAAAATCAAATAAGAATAAAGACTTTCGAGGGGAAACATCATTAAAGATTTCACTCAATATAAAGATCTTTATCCTGCATTATGTGATCTTATGTGATATTTTTTTCATCAATATACAAAACAATCATTACTATCTGTATAAGACAAGGCATTGCAATTAGTCAAGGTATTCAATAAGTAGCAAGTCCTATCTCTCTTACACAAGGATTTTGTGATAGTTAATTGTAGGGGGGGGGGGGGTACACAGGATGAATTCACTCAGTTGACATTGAAGATGTAAAAATGATCTTCAACAAGGTCAATAATACAATAATTTTCAAATAGGAAGCAGAATTAAAAAAGGATTTCCAATGGGAGCACTCTAATCATTGCAAGATGAACTTGAATACAAATATAATGCATGTTATTTGGAAATATTCCTCCAAGCCCATTAATAAAAGCTAATAACGAAGCCCTGCATGATATAATAATACAAATGGAAGTTTTCCTGGGTATTGATGTAAGCCTATAGTGGATTAAAGCCCTATATGTCCATATAGGATATGGGAAATCTTAATCATGCAATAGTGACGTGGAATTTAACAATAGGAATGATCATCTTCAGACATCCATTAGTAGATTAGGATCTTCCCATTATTAGAGTTGTTAATTGTGTCACTATTAGAGTACTATGGAGTATACTATTCTATTCAAATACATTGATTTTTGTTCACATTGTTACACTTTCTTTCCCTGGTGTGAGGATGCCAGTATGAATAACTCTCCTTTGGCTTTTAACAATGCTATAAAATCGAATGTGTTCATAAAAATTAAAATTTATTGGTTGAAATAATGTAATTCTCCTTGATCTAAAATACACTGTAGTGTATTTTAACTGTAGAGTGCTAGACGATCTAAAAATAATCTAAACTGTTGCTGCTATGCTTGCTGGTGTAGAATTGAAATATTTGAAAATCAACAACTTTTTTAAAAAGTGTCTCAAACAAATTTTTAAGTCAACACAAATAATATTTGTATCATTAAATGATATTTCAAGATTTGCATGGGGCCTACAAAAAGTGAAATCAAACTGGAACAGTTTCTAAGACTGAAGGGTAAACCTATGTAAAGGGGGGTATGCCAATTATTATCCCATAGAACAAAGTTCGGAGGGATATAGGGAACGCCTCCGTCCGTCCGTCCGTCCGTCCGTCCGTCCGTCCGTCCGTCTGTACGTACGTCCGTACGTACGTCCGTCCGTCTGTCCGTCCGTCCGGGCAATAACTCAAATACCGTTGGCCCAATTTTGTTCATATTTTGTACACATATACCCTATGGGGGTAGAAGTTCTGCTCGAAAGCCGTTTTTCAAAATGGCCGCTCATTTTAAAATGGCGGCCATTTTAGTGCCGATTTTACAGTAATTTAGGTACAATATGTAAAACTGTAATAGCAATATGTTTTAAGTGTAAAAAAATTATAAAGGACTTTAATAAAGCTACAAATGTAGATATTAAAATAGCACATGGCAGCCATCTTGAAAAATGGCAGCCTTTACTCGTTATTTTACGATTTTTGCTGTAACTCGAAAAGTAGTGGAGCGATTTTGTTCATATTTGGTATGTGAATACTGTAAGCATGGCACACTGCCCTATGACACTTTTGGTAGAAGGTGGCAATTTTGAAAAATGGCCGCCATTTTAACGTATTTTACTATAACTCGAAAAGTAGGGAAGCAATTTTGTTCATATTTGGTATGTGAATACTATAAGCATGGCACACTGTCCTATGACACTTTTGGTAGAAGGCGGCCATTTTGAAAAAATTTTGAAAAATGGCCGCCATTTTAACGTGTTTTACAATAACTCGAAAAGTAGTGAAGCAATTTTGTTCATATTTGGTATGTGAATACTATAAGCATGTCACATTGTCTAATGACACTTTTGGTAGAAGGTGGCCATTTTGAAAAATGGCTGCCATTTTAACCTATTTTACTATAACTCGAAAAGTAGTTCAGCGATTTTGTTCATATTTGGTATGTTTCATATTTTACATGTGAATACTATAAGCATGGCACATTGTCTAATGACACTTTTGGTAGAAGGTGGCCATTTTGAAAAATGGCTGCCATTTTAACCTATTTTACTATAACTCGAAAAGTAGTTCAGCGATTTTGTTCATATTTGGTATGTTTCATATTATATGTGAATACTATAAGCATGGCACATTGTCTAATGACACTTTTGGTAGAAGGTGGCCATTTTGAAAAATGGCTGCCATTTTAACCTATTTTACTATAACTCGAAAAGTAGTTCAGCGATTTTGTTCATATTTGGTATGTTTCATATTTTATATGTGAATACTATAAGCATGGCACACTGTCTAATGACACTTTGGGTAGTAGGCGGCCATTTTGAAAAATGACCACCATTTTTACGTTTTTACTATAACTTGAAAAGTAGTGAAGCGATTTTGTTCATATTTGATATGTGAATACTCACAAGCCTTGCACACTGTCTCATGACACTTCGGATAGTAGTCGGCCATTTTAAAAAATTGCTGTCATTTTTACATTTTTTACTTATTTCACAAGTACATGTGTGCGATTTTTCAAAAATTTTATAGGTGGCTATAAAAGCATATTATTTCTTCTGATGACAACTTGGCTAACCATTTTGAAAATGGTGGCCTTTCTGGTGTGTTGTTTTATGATATTTGCTATATATTTCGTTTGTAAAAATGCCAGCCATTTCTGTTCGATGGGATTCGCTACGCTTTGGCGTTGCCGTTGTTCTGGTTGTATTATTATACATATAGATAATGTTACAGCTTGACCTCCATAGAGATCATTTCATTACTTTGTATTTCATTACTAAATATAAAACCAGGTACTCCATTACTGATTACTCAAAAAATGTACCAAAACAGAAAATGTATTTATACTCACAGTAATGGATTTCAGAAAAATGAGATTCAAGATTAACAAAGGACGATTCTCGGTTTGGAGAACGAAGTTCATCAATCTAAATGAGCATTATCCCTGCTTCGGACAAATTTGATTTTTTTTACATAATATAGATTTGAATGTCCTCTTTTGAATAGTCATAATTTAATTTGGGTAATATTTCTAGATTTTTCGCAAAAAGATATTAGCGCAGTACACTGATAAACATCTTTCCCCAAATCGAGACTTGTATTTTATTGAATCGGTCTAATTGAGCGTTATCCCTGCTTCATACCGATTTGTTATTTTTACATCTTGTAGATTTAAATCTCCCATTTTGAATATTCATAGTTTAATTTGGGTAATATTTCTAATTTTTTCATGAAAAAAATTATTAGCACAGGAGACTGTTCTCCAAACCGAGAATCGTCCTTTCAGGGAAATGTATTGGAAATAATATGGACTAACTAAAAATGATTTAAATGTTTAAACATCCTTCCATCATGGGGCTTTCGAGATCCAGAAAATCTTTTTTTCTGGAATGTGTTCTGTAGCTCTGGAAGGTGTATTCAACTGAACGTTAAGCATGTTCTTTACAAATTGAAAATTGAAACTGAGAACTTGAACACAATCCAGGAAGAACTAACGAGCAATTTGTGACTTTAATATGTAATTTGGTAATTTGTCTTGTGTTTCTAACAATGAATTCAATTAGGGAAGTGATGTCAAATATTGAATAATTAATAGGCACATTCACCGATCAAAGTGGCTATCAATTTAATATTTTGTATTCAAACATGGCCGTGCTCTATTTAAATGCAGCATAGCCAAAAATGAACTTTCATTATTTCTCCATACACTTCATACACATTCAGTCATGACTTCATACACATCCAGTCATGACTCCATACATAGTCAATCATGACTTCATACACATCCAGTCATGACTCCCTACATAGTCAGTCATGACTTCATACACTTTCAGTCTTGATTCTTTAAACAGCCACTCATGACTCCATAAATAGTCAGTCATGACTTCAGTGATGACTTCATAGAAGGTCAGACACAAAATAAGAAAAAAAACCTTCATAAGAAAAATGAGAAATTCAATTCAATTTAGAAAGACATATCGATATTGTATTCAGGTGTTGGGTAAGATAATTAATAAACCAACATCCTTCAATTATTTATTTCCCAATGCTCAATATTTATAAACCATAAGGTAAATTATGGTTTCGGAGCAGACACTGTGTTGCTATAGCAACCAACACTTTATCACACATCTACTTAAGTTTGTGAATCACAGAGGTACTAGAGTCAAATAAACACTAAACCGACCCCAATAAAATCAATTGAACCAACTTAGTCTGTGTTGATAGTGCTATGAATTCATTTACCTGGTTAGCTATGAGAAAATCTTAATTGTAGATTATCTGAAATATCATGACATTGATTGAATCTTCATGTAAATCATTTTTAAATATCATAACATTGATTGAATCTTATCTTGCTTATCTTCTTAAATATTATAACCTTGAATCTCAATTATTGATGATTATCTTTATCTTATCTAATTTCAGAATTGACAATTGTATTGTGTGCCCCATATGCCATGGCAACCACAACAGAAACAGTTGTTATGACAACAGGAACAACAACTACACAAAGTTCCAAAGGTATGGCAGATTCACACTTGACAGTAATATATGTGATCGTTGGGACTGTTGTCACAGTCCCAGTGCTATGTATTGGTTGCTGCTGTTTAAAAGCTTACTGTCGAGGACGTGAAGAAAGGAGTGAAAGAAAACGAAAAGAAGAGGAAGTGAAAATGAGGGCCGCACGGGCTGCAGCGAGACATAAACCTGTCAAACCAAAGCAACCAGTTATCAACAGCCAGGCCATGGAGAACTATATCAAAACTATAAATGCAAAGAGACTCCCACGCAGTCCAAAAGTTACACCGAAAAAGAGTACAATTCGAAACAAAGCAAAGTCAAACCAAACAAACAATTTATTGGCAGTTGATCCAAATGGAAACATTGATGAAAGGGGATTTGAGGAAATTAGCCTCAAGAGTGATAGCTATACACTTGAAAATGATAAACCAAATGAAAATGCTAAAACAACTAAGAGGACTCATAGGAAAACTCACAAAAACAGTCATTTAAAAGAGAATGGTAATTCAAAAACAAATGGCCATCCCACTAAACAACAAAGAAATAGCCATTCTAATAGTAAAGATGATTTAAAAATGAATGGCTTGATACATCAGAATGGTCACATCACTAAAAACGGTCACATTAGAAATCATGGAGATGATGAAGTATTTAGCAATGGGATTGTGAACAGTGGTTTTATAGAGGATACTATAGATGATAATATGGAACTTCAAAAACCGCCAAGACCGCCAATCAGAAATGGATACGCTTCATCAAAGGAAAATGGTGGACAAAGTGGACTACATCACTCAAATGGAAAAACTAAAAGAGCCCATATGAAAGGATTTCAGGAAAGCGATGACGATCATATCATTGATATTGGTGATGCTTCAGAAGCAATGGAACAAGCTACATTAGTACATGTAAATGGTACCCATAGCAGTCAATCCAATAGAAAATCTCATCATTCAAAGAAAAATAAACCTCGCGAACATCTTTCATCAGTTTGAAAAAATTATATACTGAGACTAAATGAGAAAATCAATGGGAGATAATGATCGTGTTCGTGGAAGGGACTTATTATGCAACATTAATATGTCAATTCTCATGTTATCAACAGAATTATAACAGACTGCAGTATAATAAAAAACAAAATACCATGTTGGAGATTTCAATAATACAGGGTGGGCCACAAAAAATGCATCCCACTAGTTGATACTATTCATATGTTATTTATGATATACCATTGAAAAGATGATTCAATTTATTTGTAAATTTTAATTTAATTAAGAGTATTTACATGTGTATACTTAAATCCTTAAAAGATTAGATAATGGCTGTGATATTATAACAACAGAATATATGCTGCCATAACAGCATCATTTTTTGAATAACATCCATTTGCTTTAAAGACAATATGATTAATTCACCATTTCATTGTAGATTAATCATCTATCCAGTGGTATCATCATTTATGTCTAACTTGTTATGATCATAAATTTTAAGCGATCCATTAGAATACGATATTATAGGATATTAGAATATGATATTATAGGTATTCTTACTCTATGTATATTGGCGCTATAGTAATTGAATTTGGCAATTTATTTTCAACAGGACCAATATCCTTGATTTCATTTAATGTATAGCTAAATTGTAAATAGTTCTGCCTCAAATAATGCATTTAAGCTTATTTGCTGAAAAACTGAAATAATTTGACACAATTAATTTTGCAATTAATTTGGCAGTTATCAATTTTTATTTGAATACAAAAGTGCAATGTTTTCCAATTTGATAATGTATGTATTTATATATTTATGAAATCAGATTTTTACAAACTCATCCAGTTTTGGATGAACAAATCCGTCCATATTATCATATAAATATTTGTAAATATTTTCATTGACAATATTTTGTAATGATGCTTTGGAAGATGTCACTTCTAGATTTTGCAGTAACTTTGACAATACATGTCATGTACGATGTAATTTAAGTACAGTACTGTACTTTGACATGTATTTTATATTTAATGGGACGTGTTAGAAATGATAATCAATTAATAAAAAAGTCTTTATGACAAAGGATATTCACTTGACAAGAGGTCTTGAGGCCAAATCTGTGATATAATACTGTCTGTTGTTTAATATGGCACATTTAGAACACATTTAGATAAGGTGTTTATAGGAAACCATAGCTTAAGGCATCAACATTGGATCAGAATTCTCATGAAGTATAAGCATTTTTATTATTTACATAGAAGTCTTGATTACATTGTTTCTCAATTGTTTTCTCCCGAGGCCATGTTTAAATATTAATCTTTAAGGCTATTGTGATGTAATATTACAGCATTGTCAGACGTAACACGTGATCCAACACATGATCGATGAATGTTGAAGTGATATGTCATAGCATACAAAATTTCATTTCTTATTTTACCAATATCAGTCAACAATGCTTTTACTTGAATTAAGCATGTACATTTTTGAATTTCTATGCTTCTATGAAAAAGTTTCAAACACTGAAATTTTAAAGTGTTTAGATAACATGTTTTTTATCTCACACTGTGTGAGTTAATGTATTAATGTAATCGCTCACTCATTTGTACCTTTAATAACAATTCAAAAAGGTTTCCTTTTAAAATATGGCATCTAAAGTTAAAAAAAGTGGTAGCCAATTTCATTGCCAAAATCAGGTTTTCAACACGTTCACCATGTGAGTCCAGTACCCATGGTACTGTTAAATACATACTGCTTTACCATCTTCATTCGCAGGCTAAAGCAGAGTCCTCAAATCCTAACTTTGAGCATTTTATTGATTTCAATGAGCAAGTTTAATTTTTTATTGGAAATGGTACCAGGCTGCCTTGTACTTTGTTTATTTTACTGAAATGAATTAACATCTATTATTACCACCTTGCCGGGCCAGTTCTAGGGGTTTTAGTGCTAGTTTAGAAGGCGTTTATTTTACTATATCGACCTGAGAAATGTGTGACGTCATAGTGGTGGTCCATATGGACCGGTCTAGAATATATTCTGGACCGGCAATTTTCCCCGGGAAATTAGATATCGTTCAATGCGTAAGATTTTCTTGCTGTTTCAGTCCTGGTCGTTAACGGTGGTAATAATACTAATAACGTCATTTCTGCGAGCAATATAGTGAAATATTGGACCTTGGGCCTTTGGCCCTCGGTCCAATATTTCACTATATCGCCCTTAGAAATGACGTTATTGTACTATTATATGGTTGACATGTATATTATGAACTTGACATAATTAATAATAAAATATGTTTTTAAAGATCTATGAGATTAAGCATTATAAAAAGTATATGTATTTAAATATTATGTATATTATTTAAAAGACAAATATCTGAATCTTAGAGGTTTTGTATTCTAAAATATGGTTGACATTGTTTTATTTTTCACTGGAGGTGAAATAAAGCTTACTCTTATAAAGATATATTGTCAAGCAGTTTTTATTCAAAAATTTTAAACCAAGAACTGTATGATTTTAGCAATTTCTATTCAAATGTTTAACAGTATGTGGTTTATACATAGACCCACCTAGCATTATAAATGTTAGAGTGCTGCTGTTTTAAAAGCATATGTCTAAATAAAAATAAATAAATAACAAAACTGTATTTGTTGTGTGGTGTTATGTCGTGGTTATTTAATACACAGAAAATACTAGTTCAACAAGTTAAACCCAATACCACGACTTTCATTTATTAATCTGAATGTTCTTGTTGCCGTGATTGGGTTTAACTTCCGTGCTATGCTTTCATTGGTTGCAAATTCTCACTCTCAGTTATTAATAAAACATGCATAAAATTCCATGCGCTGCCATAGGCCACCATTAAATTTTTTGCATCAAGGGCCGAATAGGCACGGACGTTAAACCTAGGGCGAGCCACACGATATGTCAGATAAGAAATAAGGCCCAGACTAGGTTTAACTTGTTGAACTAAGAGAATGCAAGCAGTGTTTAGATGTTTAGATAGTAAACCAATGATAGATTGTAACAAAAGGATTTCCAGATAATAGAAATTACTGAATGAATGAAATATATCTTAATTAAGGGACAATATATCAATATACACCCACAGACATTCAAATATGGGTGTATACATTTTTAATAAGTCTTTTTTGCTTTTTTTAAATCTTCATCCAGTGTTATGTTTTGTGGCAACACATAAACAATGGCCAAGTCCTTACATTAAGTATTGGTTGCTATTTGTCCATGGACAAAATGATTAATAACTACCCAAGCTCCAATACTCCTACTATTTTCATATGATGTCATACCATGAGGAAAGAATATATAGCAACAGTATCTATAAACACAATAAGCGATGGAGTCTAATTATCAACAGTTGTGGAATAAGTGAATTAGTTTTGTTAAGGGGAGGGGGTAAATAATGGTTTCATCAGGGGATAGTGTTGATGTTTAATATACAAGTAAAAGAAAAATGAACACTTTAAAATTTCGTAAGATGAGGGGAGGGGAGGTCAAACCATAAAAAAATTGAATTTTACAAATTTAACTTTTTCCAGGACTATACACCATCCCTAATTGAATTATTAACACAAATGGTCAAATTGAAATCAAAGTTTAAGGCAAATAACAATTATTTCTTGCTTGTCTTAATATCCTACGGCTGATTCAACTAACAACATTAAGCACATTGTACATTGAAGTATTGGTCAAACCCACACATTAATCCCAATAATACAGAATTAGACTGACAAATATATTACTTATCATCTGAGGCATTAGAGACCATTATCGTTCTCCACATAAAACTGATTTGTGTTTTTGTTTCTATGGCAACTATTTATTATAAATGATTCACTCTAGCTATTAGATTTCAAACAATGGATTATTCCTTGAGATAATCCAAGTTTTAGAATAATAACATGATGTATATACTGCTGATGTGTCAAAAGGTGTAATAATTTGTATTTTAATAAATAAAATCCACATAAATAAGTCAGTGATTGAAGATTCAATTTTAGATACACCCAAGTAATATTGATACATGAGTCTGTTTGATCCTTTATCTCCGACTCTTAAAGAATTATACGAGTTTGAGCATCAGTCGACTGATTACTTATTAGATTCTTGATTTATAGTTTTTCACCTGACAAAACCTGACAGTATCATTATTTTTCTCATGAAAAAATCATGGGATTGCGGGGTTCCACTATTTGCACGAGTCAATAGATCCTGATTCATCAGTTTGAAAAGTTTTGTAGCATCTCTATAACGTTTTCCAGTTATAAGCCCACTGGTCCTATACACAGATCAGTGATTATCTGGGTTTCTGAATTATGTATGAAGCACGAGCCCATTGATTGAGAGTCTAGATGGCAGCCAACTAGAGTATTTCAAGATGTTGACATCGACAGAATAATTTCTTACACAAAATCTTTATGTAAACAAAGTCTGGCAAACACCCCACATTCATAAAGTCTCCACTCCCTAATGATCCCCTGATCTGAAAAGTTGTGATGATTCTATCCCAACCTTTTTCCTAATACCTCTATAGTCAATTGGACAAGTAAATAATACGAATTGGAGAACTTATCCTTAGAGGACCTTAATTCTATCTGTACTGTACAAGTTTTCTTCAAAATGTTTCACTGAACCTCTCATATTGCAGTATTGCACTCAATGCTCAATAGTCAATGCAATTGAAATTCCATCGATTCACTCCCACAATATGAATCTATTTACTTTTGCATCATCAATGTTTAGAAAATTCATAACGCCTTGTGTGATCAGAATAGACTAAATAGTTAATCTATTAATGGGGGTTGTTTCTTCATTCTATTAACAAATTAACCACTAAGAGTTTCATAAATCATGAATATGCATGAGCTAACATCGCCATTTGGACGCGACAATACGTCATAGTTTTTATAATGTATAAATACCTGGCTTTTTTGTGAACTATATTGGTTTTACAGTCTCAGAATTGCATCTGAGAACAAGCTCGAGATGCCATTGAGGTGCTATGTTTGGATCCTACAGGGCAATTTTTATCTCTGTTTTAGTAGTCTGCATGAAAAATTAATGATCATTTTGTCTCGATGCATTGTGTTAGCATGCTACTGATCCGTAATCATTTATGTCTGTATGATTTGATACAGAACAAAACAAAGCGGCCAGTCATGTAATATCATGGGCTCTCAATTAGATGGTAATGTGTAACAATTTCACAGCAGTTTCTCAAGGGAGAAATTAATAATTAAGAATAGACTGACATAGTTTTTTTCAGATTGCTATTTGTTGTTTGTTGATATAATAACTATGGTCTAACATAGATAGCAAATGTTTTATGTTGAGTTCCCAAATCTTATCATTTGTTCACATTTCGAGTTCCCAAATCTTATCATTTGTTCACATTTCGAGTTCCAAAATCTTATCATTTGTTCACATTTCTATTTGGTCAACAAAACTGAATCTTGCCAATTAATCAATTTCACCTGATTTGACCTTTGGGCTGACTAAGCTCACTAAGTCATATCTCATCAAGTATAGTTTATTTCAGAAAAGTACATTTTTTATGAAATTGGCTGAGGAACGAGTAAACAATGTAAAGTAATAATTCCTGACCCATTATACTATTTACCTTTGATAGCTCTTAATGGGTTATTATATGCCTTCCATGATTTGTGAGGAACAAGAACAATAACCATGAAGTGCCAAAGAAAAACAAGTTACTCAACAATATTAGAGCAACAGACAAACTTAATTGGGGCATCCAAGTTAATGATTTGACTTTCAAAACAACAGTCAAGAGATTATGAAAGAGTTCTGAAAATCTATGTCGGAAAATAATTTCAATTGAATTTATCAATAAACTAGAAACAATACAAACTTTTCCTTCTCCCGAGTTTCTCAATTATAGGAAATATTGACTGCATTCTGTTTGTTTCCTGGCTAGCTCATACAATTGAAATAGTAGTGGAAATGAAAATTATTTATTACGCCAAATTATGAACAGAGCGACCCCATTAAGTGCCACCAGAGTGCCAGAAGGTGATCAATAATACAAAAGAAGCAACAGAAACAATGAATACTAAAGCCACAAGATAAAAGGCTGCAAACCATTAAATACAAGCTAGGGACTTTGTGATAAAATTGCGATGAGCTAATGGACATTTACTATAATCTGTAACGATCCCAGAAGATTCATACTGCTGTACATAACAAAGGATTGGTATTGATATGGTGAACTGAATTTAACATTGTTTTTCTCTTAAACATATTATCAAAAACGTTCTGTAAAAACACATGATCCTTTATGTAATGGTCACTGATAGACAATAATTTAATGCAAACATCATTTTTTATATAATTTTATTTGTGAAAAATTTTGAAATTTTTGATGACTGGTTTGAGAAACATGTGTTCAATTCAGTTCACCATATCGATACCAATCCTTTACAAGTCAAAGTCCTGACTGATTCAGGCAGAAAATGCTTTAAGGTGTATTTATACTTTTAATGAAAATTGATTTGAAGGGTCTGGTATATAATGATATATCGCTATATCTTTTATTCTCGTAGATATCCTTATCACAGACTTGTTAACTCAAAAATAGGAGTTATTTATTTTGTTATATTACAGTAATAATTATTTATTGGAAAGTCGCCATGACACGCAACATCAAAGTCTATTTAATTGCATGGTTTCAACTTGTCATGTCATGATAAATTCCATTATGGTTGCCATAAATCGCATCCTCCATATTCACCTTCATTTGCATGCTATACTATGCTATTTTCAAGGGTTAAAAGTAAGTCTGTCTTTGGAGAATGAGTAAAACTTTTCTGATTAGACCTTTATATACATTATAGAACCATACAATTTATAGAACCATCAATTTAATAAAAAATAACAATGATTCATCAGACCATAAGCACTTTTCAATGTACCATAAATATTCATGGGGCCATGAATACTTCTCAACACCTATATTACCACAAGTACTAAAAATTATCAAACCATGCACACTATTCATCCAGCATATCTGACCACACATACTATTCAGAAGACCATGAATACTATTCATGATGCCCATTTGGTCACAAATACCATTCATCAAACCATGTGTACTATCAAGAAACCAGATACTATTCAAATGCATATTTTTCCTCCATGCGG